ATGCTTACAATATGAAACGATAATGCATTTAACGGTGAAAACGGAATGCTGATTGAAATTCCATCTTATGTTGCCTATTAATTAACATCTTCATAGAAACCAATTGATATTTGATCATTGATTCTGAGCTTAAGATTTCGATTATGCTAATGTAGTAAGATTCATCTGAACCCTTGTATTTGTGATGTTAATTTTCTATATCATTTAATATCAAACAACTTATTACTTGTTTGCCTATGATATATTTCACTGACTTAATAAGAATGTTTTCTTTATACGATTAATATTTAGCTTTTAATAAATAAATAAATAAGGTTAACTATAACTTTCTTTTTTAAATATTTTACTAATAAAAATATCCAATAAACACCACCAGCTGAGCTTTTATATACTTACAAACCTAGTGAGTCTTATCATTACGTAAATCATTGTTATTTCATGTATTAGGGTGGAATTAATATCAATATTATTTTTACTATGTTGAAGTGAGAAAAGTTCTTTTTCCATTCTTTTACTGACACTTCCGCTTGTGTGGGCGTCGTTGCCTGCTGTTGACGTATAACGTATATTTTTTGTATTTACTCATCCCCACCCACACGAAGTCAGGTTGTGACACAAGGTCGGTTTAATGTAGGCAGCCCGAGCGCTTACACACGGGCAAAGAACAAAAATTTCCCGTGCCACCGCAACTGTCGGTTGCGCTGGCCTAGTGCAATGAGAGAGATCGCGGCCTCGGGCAGCTGTCCCCCAGGGCTGGACACCTCGCAGTATAATTTTCCTCATTTGCGACTTTGTCCTTCGACGGAGACGCCCCTGAGCGCACTCTGCTCAAAGACAGAGACGCAACTGAGAGATGATAAATAGGGTGTTACAAACTACTCGACAGAGCAAATATATAACGTTTATATTCGTGTATAAGTCGACTTCATATATAGTGTGTCCCCTAATTTTTACTTGTACCAAACCTGTTTTTTTTTCTTTTAACAAACAGAAAATTTTTCGTTAGAAACAAAGAAAAGATTACTGAACTGTTATGCAATACCAGTCCTTCTATATGATAGTGAATGTTGGACAATCTGCTCAAGAAGAGACTTGAAGCAACAGAAATGTTATTTTACAGAAGGATGCTGGGAATGCTTTGAACCGAACATGTGTGCAACGAAGTTTTAGAGAAAATGAAAACATAAAGGACACTTCTACTTAACATCAGGAAAACACAGCTGAAATTTCTAGAGCTTATATTAAGGAAAGAGGGCTTGGAAAATTTGATACTCACAGGGCAGACAAGAAAACAATGCATAACCTACCTAGTGAGTTTGCGTAAATGGATGACGGAACAAGGTTTGGGAGAGATAACAAAAAGATAAAATTCATTAAGAGCTTCAAAGGACAGGAAATTTTGAAGACCCATGATTTTCAACGTCCTGTAAAATGGAAGTTACACTGAAATGCCGGTCTTTGACCTTAGCGCTACTTCTAAACCAACAGAAGTGTACAAAACGACCTGTTATGTGTTGTATCTTTATTCTAATGTGGAGTAATGGATAGCGGCTCGGATTGAGGAATCGGAGAGTTCTAATTCCAGTCGAATCCAATACATTCACTTACTTGCTAATTAATGCCCATGGGAAAGGTAGGAAACCCCCACCTATGGATAAATAGCAGGACAAACCGGATTCTATAGCCTTAGATGGCAACTGGTCTACTGCAGAAAGAAATGGCAACCTACTGCCTCGTCAGTGATGTATCAAAAAATACATGATCGCCTAAGCGTCTATCACGCATAGCACATAACTGATTGACTGAGTTAGGTATCTCGTTTCGTTTAGACCGTATTACAGAGTATCCTATCGAAACCAAAATGGCGACGCCAATCATCGTAAAAGTTAATTTCGTATTTCGCCCAAATTAACCAGTACAGCCATGTTATAACGATGCAGGAATGAAATTACTAGATATTTTTGTTTCTTAAAACAGACATGATTCTCAAGAAGTAATTCACAAATTATCAAGCCATATCGTTGCTTGCACAAATAGATATTTTATTCTCATAAGCTAATAAAATTTATTATCGATGTCTGTACATTTGATATTAATCTGTATCTGCTGTCTCTACCGGATTGGGGTCTGTTTTTTTTTTATTTGTACTTTGTTCAAGATCATGATTTTGCTCTCATCTCGATATCGATTTCAAACAAGATCTGATGAAATAGTTCAGCTTACAAGCAGTCTTGTAAAAGCCTCTTAGTATAAATAACTATTCTGTTCATTGGCTTAAGTTTTTGTTTTTTGTTTTTTTTTTTGTTTTTTTCCGTAATTGTTGATTTTTAAAGTTTGACGTTTTTGTTTTTTACCTAAAGAAATCTACGGAAATCTTTGATAATTTCTAATGTTCTTTTTCCAATTAATATAAAAATTGCTTCTTAAATTCTTGAAGTGGAAAAAAATACTTATTTACAAGAAAAAGGAAAAGGAACCAAAGAAGGAGTTTCAAAAAATTCCTAATTAAACTGTGAATCTGAATTCCGCTTCTTTCCATTTTATTTGCAACCAAAAGACACCATTACCATATTGGCTCTGATTCTAATAATAATTTTCGTTCCTACTCTCTCTCTCTCTCTCTCTCTCTCTCTCTCTCTCTCTCTCTCTGACACCAACACCTTTACTCTCTCCCCTTCTCCCACCATTACTCTCTCCCATTCTCCAACCCTTCTTTCTCCTTCTTCCACCCATTCTCTCTCACACACTCTCTGCCGCCTTCCCACTCACTCTTTTCTTAATTTTCCTTCAACATCAAATGTTCAAAAATAATACTTGTTAACAGAAAGAATATAAGGCGCACAACATATTTTAATCAGTGACTCAATCTTTTATTTGTATTGCTTCAGATTTTGCCCAAGGTTTTATCAGTGAGTCCCTTGTATAAGAGGAAACGGAAAAATATTGGATAGTGGCCAAGAATAGCAAAAGAAATAATTTCAACCCACATCTGCAAACATTTTACTTGATCTTTGGGAAATACACCCACGCTTCGATATTCAAACATAAACCCGATGTCCTTAAATATCTTTTCGTGCAAAGATCTTAATAAAAATATAACATTCACCTTACTTCTTCCGGTTTTACACGTGCGTAAAATTTGACTGAGTAACCGATGCTGACGGAATTTTGCTTTATATAAAACAAGCGAACTTTTAAGCAATAATTTTAATGATTTTTTTCTCTAAAAACTTCCAAAATACTGAAGTCGATTTTGATATTATTTCTAGTTTAAACCGCTAGTTTTCAGAAAAATTATAACCAATAACTTCTATGCAAACCTAATATATAATAAACATTTTGTTTGATATGTTTTTTTTTCACTAACAGTCAAACGTTTAAAATGGTTATAATATATGAATTGCAACAATATTAAGTAATTTCAGATTACAGCAAAGAGACAGAATAGTTTTAGTATTTGTAAAGAAAAAGATCTCAAAATGAAACTGATTTGTAATGTTTCTATCCAGGTAAGAATTGGAAATATTCAGCCAGGTTTGATGCTAGGAAATTTGGTTCATTGTGCCGTTTAGACAAATTTTTCTCGCTAGAATCTATCTTACACATTTATGTCTACCATTCGTCCATACATTGAATATTGTATATAACATCTGGTCTGGTCTGGTGCTTCTGCTATGTATTTAGAGACTCTACATAAAATACAAAGAATCTACAGTGTTACTGGCCATGTCTTGGGCTTCTCGTTTTCAGTCACTTTCACACCATCGTAACATAGCTTCCCTGTGCTTTTTCTACAAATATTTTCATGATAACTATTCTGAACTTTTCTTTTTGGTTCCTTGATTTATAAATTTAAGCACTAGTCTAACGAAAAGGTCTCCTTTTACAGTTGAAAGGGCTACATGTAACCGTAAGTTTTATGCTAATAGTTTCTTCTCGGTGATGGTACTCTCTTCCGGCATCTTGCTTTCCAGTCAACTTTGATCTTCAAAAATTTAAATGCAGTGTCAATCGTTATCTTCTGTCTTCTTAATTCCTGTTTATTTATTGCTACGTCTGCTAAGAAAGTTCATTCCTATGTCGCGCTAGACAATTTTTATCACCAGAATCTATCTTACATATTTATAAGTCTGCCATCCCTCCATGTTTTAAATATTGTTGCCACATCTGGGCTTCTGCTATATTTTTAAAGATTCTTGATGAAGTCAAAAGAGGAATCTGCAATGTTGTTGGTTCTGACCTGACATCTAGTCTTCAGGAATTTTCCCACCGCCTTAATGTAGCTTCCTTCTGCCGTTTCTATAAATATTTTCATGATAATTGTTCTGGTGATCTTCTCATTATGGGACTTAGGCTTGATGAATTTAAGCGTAGTACTACATTGGCGGCAAAGGTTTCATCGTTTTACAATTGAAATGGTTACATATAACCGTAAGTTCTATGCTAACATTTTCTTCTCTCGCACTTTTGCTTTCCAGTTAATTTTCATACAATTATGTATCGTCACAATTTACGTACGATTTCATTTTGATGATTTATTGAATTAAAAAGAACAAAAACCTTTTAAAAATAAAAGTTATCTTCTATTAGTAAGGTTTCATTGCGTCCCACTCCCCACAAAAAAGAAGAAAGAAAAAAAAAACTTAGTCAAATTATCCCAAAAAACATGACTGGATATTACACTAAGTAACTTAGTCAGTTGATCATATTTCATATAAACAGTACAGATCTGAAATAATAAAATAGCAACGAATACATATCGATTTGAGAATCATCAAACTTGCACAAACGGGTAGAACTCTTTACTCTTTGTTTTCTGACTCTTTTACACGTAAATTTTAGCGCAAAGATTTAGTCTTGCCTGATGTTGCAAAAAAAAAAAAAATAACATTTGCTGTTCCGTAATAAAAAAAAAGCAGCCGAATAGCATCTTCAAAACTTTATACGCAATATCAATTGTTATCTTCTGCGTTAATTATTTTATTGTTCTCTCTCTAATAATGTTTTCTTTTTCTCATTCCTCTTACGCTCCGTAATTACTTGCATCTCAGTGACTTTATTACCTTGCTAGGGGTGAAATGATGTTTTAAAAGCTATAGTTTCAGTTTGCCATTATTCTTAGTGCAGTTTTCTTATATTCGTGTTAATTTAACTGTTAAATCCTAAAAATCATACATTTTTCAGTCACGTAAATACAAGACGTGTGCTTTTATGACGAAAAGAATTTTCCCTTTATCTATAAATATATAGCGAGAGATTTGAAAATGAACACTGAAATCTGAGGTTCCAAATCGAACTTATTACCTGACAATTTCATCAAGTTCAACGTATTAGACGTTAGGTTAATTAAAGGAATTCTATATTTGTATAAAGAATAAAATATTTTATAATTCATGTTATTGATCACTCAATCTAATACGGAGCATTCATTTTGCAACTTCCTCATGAATATAATTCTTCTCAAAGTACAAAACCATGCCACTTCCATTTTGTGAACGGCGCTTATTTTCTTCGTGTTTCAAATGTAAGAAAAAATTTCACTCGGACAGTTTTTTGGGTTTTTTTTTTCAAGAATTGCCATATTATGGAACAGACTTCCGCCTGGATTCATAACGCTTAATCTTGACCTCTTCAAATCAAAGGTCAACGTTATCTAGCCTCCTTTTTATAATCTTCACTTCCTATCAACTTCTCTTGTATTCATGTCATACACCTCATTAATCATAACCATTTTAAAAACAATCCTCTATCTTGAGTGGCTTTCGAGCTTTGTATTGGCTGTACTTTAATATAGAAAATATTTTATATCTGTAATAAATATATTTACCTCGTGAAACTGATAGCTCGTAAGTATTATATACTCCCGTGTGAGTGCTTCAGTCTTGACCTCTTCAAGTCAAGAATTAAACTTTATCTATCCTACTTATCTCCACTTCCTCCCACCTTCTGTTATATTTATATAACACACTTCATTTAGTATTGCCATTTTGACTATATCCCTCTACCTCGCGTTACTCTCGAGCCTTGTATTTGGTGAAATTTAGTAAAAGGAAGAAAAATAAAACTACTGACAAGTTCTTTAATTATTTAAAAGTTTAGATCATGAGGACTTGTTACAGATGCACGCCTTTAATAGCACTTTAGATGTTTTCTTTTTCTTTCTTTTTTACTTCTAAACTAAAAGAATTCTCCAGAAAATATCAATTTTGTCCTTGTCACACAAGTCTGACGAACTTTAGATGCGGAAATAACAGCCTAATCAATACACCTAAAATACAACCTGAGTTATCATTCTACTCTTCCAGTCGAAAACTGGGGTCAATATTAGCTGATTAAATGAATCCTCATTATTTCTCTAACAATGAGCTGTCGGCAAAAACTGCTTCCGAAGACGAGATGACCGAATCAGTCAGCTGACTGCCATTCACATGTTTAGTTGGTCATATTCACGGTCAACTGATTCAGTCTTAATAAAAGACGATGTCAAATCCCTTATTAATCTCATTTCAGAGAAAACCCCGAACCAACGGCTTAGTACTGAAGTGAGCTAATGCTGCGTGCGAATTAATTCGCTTGAGTGAGATAGCTTTTATGATTAGGTTTTAATCGTGAATGAACTAAGGTTAAGACTGGATGCAGAAATAAAACGAATAAAATGACATTAAAATTACTTTTTCAACCGAAAAATGTTGTATTCTGATTTATATCAACCAGAGTTTGTATCAATGATTACGGTCATTTCTCATTCTATCAAAATGTTTACTGGCTTGTATTTCTTTTCTTTTACAAGTTACTAATGGCAGAAAATATGAGTTCAGTAATATTCTAAACTAGGGAAGGTTACTGAATAGCATAATCCCATGAAAGTTGTTAATGAAAGGTAATACTTAAGACAGGAACAACGCATATAAGATTGACCAGCGGCGCGTAGAAGTAGGCAACTGCTAGAAGTGAGTCTCCAACTACAGGATATTTACCAACCGCCCCACGCGGTCATATGTGGCACAAAGCTGAATTTAATGTGGGGTATCAAAGCCCGTAGGCTCGACCAAACATTTCCCGTAGACACCATATAAAACGGGGTCGGATAGCTGCTTCCCGAGATGAGACTCTGCAATTCGACATAGCCTCGTCTGGGGATCCTCTCTGACCGTAGGTAGAGAGTTTGACCAACAACGCTGGAGACGAATCTCCAACTGCTATATCCTATAATAAATAATTAGACCGGTTTGATGAGACCGTTATTGCCACAGTCATGTTCCACAGATCTTTTCATCTTCAAGATATTTATCTTTTCAGTTTCTTACCCATCTACTCTGTTGTCTGTCGGAACCTCAACATCCATTATCTAATATATTCTCTTGTCTACAACTACACAACCTCTTTAATGATTCTGTATGTTTCTAAATATCTTAATTGTCTTCTATAAAATTGTACTTTGAAAATTTCATAATTTTCTTTGGTATTTCCTTCTTTCTTCCTTGTTTTTATGACAACTGCCAAGGCAAACTTTCGTTTCGTCTACTGATTATCAGTGTCCCTACACCCACATGTACAAAATACGACAAAAGATTTGTCATTTACAATCAGTAGTGAACTAGAAATCACACCAGGATTTATTATTGATGGGCACAATGTTAACATAAGATATGCAAATGACATTGTGTTGATGACAGACATAGAAAGAAAACTGTGGGACTTACTAGAAAACGTAATAAAGGAAAGCGGGAAGAAAGGACTAACCATCAATTTTAAGACACAATTTAGCGCACCAATCGAAAACCTATTCATCGAATGCACATTAATCGAGG